CCATGTGTGTGCAGGAGGAGGAAAGAATAAAAGTTTCACAGGGTGGTACTGTCAACTACCTAAAAGATAAGAAAAAGAACTATAATAACAACTCTTCCTCCAAGTCATCTGGAAAGGGTCCAATGCAACAGTCTCAGAACAAACAATTCCCAGTGGATAAAGACTAGTGTCTCTACTGTAAGAAGACGAGACATTATAAGAAGAATTGTCCCGATTTCCTAAAGATGATTATGAAAAATAAAGGTGAGAACATTATTACGTTCGTAAATGAATCCTTGTATGTCAAGTTTTCAAAATCTACTTGGTGGATTGATTCAGGTGCAACTATTCATGTTGCTAATTCATTACAGGGATTCCGTTCGATGAGAACTTTGCAAAGAAGCGAAAGTTTCATTAAAGTCGCAAATGGAGTACAAGCAGATGTTGAGGCCGTTGGCGATCTTCCGCTAGAGCTTGCTGATGGCTTCATACTTTTTCTTAGAGATGTTCTTTATGTACCTTCTTTGCAAAGAAACTTGATTAGTGTATCAAAGTTGGACCATGATGGTTATGATTGCTATTTTGGAAATGGCAAATGTCAGATATTGTTTAATAATAGATGTATTGGTCTTGCCTTCCGACAAGACGAGCTTTATTTGTTATCACTTCGTGAAAATGTGAATTCCGTATGTGATGTGAATGAAAATGTATCCTCATCGAACAATGCAAACAGAAAACGAAAGAGAGCTCACGATACGTTGTCAAAATTATGGTACTGTCGTTTAGGCCATATTTCGAGGGAGAGAATAGAAAGACTAGTTAAGAATGATATTCTTCCTCCATTAGATCTCTCAGATTTAGAACAATGTAGATATTACATAAAAGAAAAGTATGTAAAGAAAATTAAGAAAGATGCCAAACGAAGCGCAGGAATTCTACAGATTATTCACACAGATATCTATGGTCCTTTTCCTGTGAAAAGTGTGGATGGTTATGATTAATTCATAACACTCACAGACGATTACTCTCGGTTTGGCTACATTTATCCAATTAAAGAAAGAACAGAAGCGTTGGATAAATTCAAAATATTTAAAGCAGAAGTTGAAAATCAGCATGATTTAAAGATTAAGATAGTCGTCTGACCGTGGGGGAGAGTACTACGGTCGGCATACCCCATATGGCCAAGTTCTGGACCTTTTGCAAGGTTCTTACAGAGAATGGCATAGTAGCCCAGTATTCCACACCGGGCGAACCTCAAAGAGAATGGAGTAGCTGAAAGGCGTAACCGTACCCTCGATGGATATGGTGCGTAGTATGATAAGTTACTCTACTTTACCGATGAGTCTGTGGATGGAGGCGTTAAAACCGCCATTCATATTCTCAATAGAGTACCAAGTAAGTCGGTGTCCCAAAACACCGTATAAGTTATGGACAGGAAGAGTACCCTCACTTAACCACTTGCGTGTGTGGGGGAGCCTGCTGAGGCTAAAGTTTTAACCCAAACATTGGGAAGCTAGATCCCAAAACAAAGGAGTTATCATTTCATTGGCTACCCAGAAAAGTCAAAAGGTTTTCGTTTCTACTGTCCTAACAGACATACAAAGTTTGTGGAAACAAGACACGCTGTCTTCCTAGAGGATGAAATGATTAGGGGAGCATGGTAGCTCGAGAAATTGACCTTGAAGAGAAGCGGGTGTATGCACCCACTCCGATAATTCATGAGCCATTTTTCTCACTACCTGCTTTTGCTGTTACACCGATAGTACAAGACACTGTGGTGCCAGCACTGTTGTTATCCCGCCTGTGGCAACAATGAATGATGATGAGGAACCTGTTCCTCAGGATCCTATAGAACCTATTGCCACACATGAGGGGGAGCAACAACAGCCTCAAACAGAAAATGTGCCAAATGAGGAGGCCCCTAGAAGGTCTTAAAGAGTTAGAAAATCAGCTATTCCTGCTGATTATGAAGTGTACAACACTGAGGAATTTCAAATGGAGGATGATCCCACCTCATTTGAAGAAGCCATGAAAAGTGATCATTCATCAAAGTGGCTTAAGGCCATGGAAGATGAAATGAGATCAATGAATGCAAATAAAGTTTAGGATTTGGAGATAATTCCAAAAGGAGCCAAAATAGTAGGCTGTAAATGGGTCTACAAAATAAAACTTAACTCTCAAGGGAATATAGAGAGATATAAAGCCCGACTTATGGCGAAAGACTTTACACAAAGAGAAGGGATTGATTACAATGAGACCTTTTCTCCAGTCTCATGTAAGGATTCCTTCAGAATCATAATGGCATTAATGGCACATTACGATTTAGAATTACATCAGATGGATGTAAAGACGGCATTTCTCAACGGAGACTTAGAAGAAAATGTTTACATGGCACAACCGAAAGGTTTTGTCATGGAAGGAAAAGAACATTTGGGATGCCGCCTAAAGAAATCCATTTATGGATTAAAACAAGCTTCAAGACAGTGGTACTTGAAGTTTGATCAGACAATAAAGAATTTTGGGTTTAAAGATAATGTTGAGGACAATTGTGTCTACGCAAAGTTTAAGAATGGGAAGTTTATCTTCCTTGTCCTGTATGTGGATGATATCTTACTTGCTAGTAGTGATATCAGTCTACTACTGGAAACAAAGAAGTTTTTGTCCTCAAAATTTGATATGAAAGATCTTGGTGAAGCTTCGTTCGTTCTAGGGATCGAGATTCACCGAGATAGAAGTAAAGGGGTATTAGGACTGTCACAAAAAAACATACATAGAAAAAGTCTTAAAGAAATTCTGTATGCATAAATGTAGTTCCTCACCTGCTCCTATAGTCAAGGGCGACACATATGGGGATTTTCAATACCCCAGGAACCAATATGAGATCGATCAAATGAAAGTGGTTCCATATGCTTCAGTTGTCGGAAGCTTGCAATATGCTCAAATATGCACGCGCCCTGACTTGGCATTTGTTACCGGGTTACTTGGCAGATTCCGGAGCAATCCTGGAATAGAACACTGGAAATTGGTAAAGAAAGTCTTGCGTTATTTGCAAGGAACGAAAGGCCTCATGATGACGTATAGAAGATCTGATTCACTCCATATAGTGGGATATTCAGATTCTGATTATGCGGGAGATAATAGAAAATCCACGTCTGGATATGTGTTCACTCTCAGGGGGAGCTATTTCATGGAAAAGCTCAAAGCAAACCATCACTACATCGTCCCACAATGTATGCCGAGTTTTAGCGCGTGTTATGAGGCAACGGGCGTGTGAAATGGCTAAAGAAGTTCATACCGGTTTGAAGGTGGTTGACGACATCAATAGACCACTTCGAAGTTATAATCGCGATAATAATCCAAAGATGACAAGTATGCTCACAACAATAGGTCAAGTGGTGCTGCCAAACACATTGACATAAAGTATTATGTTGTGAAGGATAAAGTCCGGGATCAAATGATAAGTCTTGAGCATATAAGTACCGAAAAAAGATGCTCATGGATCCGCTTACAAAAAGGCTTACCACCCAACGTGTTCGAGAGAACATGTAGCCGGCATGGGTTTAAGGGAAAGCCTATGACTCTGGACTATAAAGGGCCCAAAATTAAAGTAACTATTTCGATCGAGACGTGCATTGTAGTATTATTAAATCTATCAACGATTGACCGTGACGATGAAACATGCTCTATGCATCATCTGTGAAGAAATGAGTAAGGATAAAAGGATTGAAGTTTAAAGTTTAAAGATAAAAGTAATAGTGTGAGATCAAGGGAGAGAATGTTAGATTGATCTCCCAGCCAATAAGCCCAACGGCCTATTGGGCCTTGGTCACACGCCCTGATCGGGGGCGCCCAACCCTACATGGTTGGTGGGCCCCCGTCGCACTACGCTATATAAAGAGGTGAGGGCCGGCGGCTTAAGGTACGAGGTTCACCGTGAGCCGAAAACCCTACCGACAAACCCTAAACCGATCTGAGAGGGCGCGCAGCCAGCGACGAGAAGCTCCACTGACTTCGCCGTCGCCACTGCACTGCATCACCGTCTCCACTGCGTCGCCTCTCCTCACCGACCGTCGCTGCCCGTGTGCTGCCTCCATCAACGAACCTGAGATGGCCGGCTCCAGTTCATCCGCGACTCCCTCCGAGGGCTCAGGTTCAACACCAACATCTCTCTTTATCTCTCCTATCTTTTCTCTCTGTTCATTCCGTATTCAAAGAAACAAACCTTAGATCTAATGTACTTAACAAATTGAAGTACGGAACCAATCGATCTGGTTGCAGGGCACCCACGAGGCCACGCGGCCATTCTTTCCCTGAATGGCAACGCATCTCTCTCCTACAGGGCCTACGGATAATGCTGTCACATCAGAATTTGTCGACCGCCCAATCAACTGGAATCAGAATCACTATAGTGGAACCATGCAACGGCTGTCAAATGTCCTGTTCGCTTATGGTTGATAAACCATGACTAAAAGTATCGTTGACTGATTTGTTGTGAGAGAAAAATATTATTTGTTAATTAAAAAATACGGCTTATAAATCAAGCGAATGTAGAAATCAAACGAACGCTCACTGAAATCTGAAACAGGGAGATCACACGAAAGCAAAAGGTTCAGAGAAACTTGTGTCTGAAGAGAGGAGCTCCAGTTTGTCTACAATGTTGTATTTGCTTCCGTGCTCCAGTTTGTACAGTGTCCATCTAGACGGTTTCTTCTTTTTAATATAGCGGACAGCTCTCCTGCCGGTTCGTCTAAAAAAAAAAAGAATCGCAGCAAATGTTGTATTTGCTTCCGTGCTACTCTCTCAGACCAGAATCGCAGCAAAATGGAACACATGTGAGCCGGGAATGGCTGCAGAAGTCTAACCAAACGGGTCCGGATCAGCAAATCAAATCGGTACATACATCTAGTACGCCACAATATAATACTCCGTACTGTAGATAATGGGTAATATACTATACTCCTACGTCTACATGATAGTCATGGAGAATTTTTATTCCCAAGTATGTACAGTAGTTTTACATTTTACTGCAGGAGTATTTCCTCCTGACTACAGTAGGTGAAAATAATGCTAGAGGCAGAGACACTCCAGCCCTTCTTCTCCCCGAGCACACACCCGTTACTCCTTGGCCTTGTCCGGCCCGGTGGCGCCGGCTTGGGGCTGTTGGGGCACATCATCTTCTTGAACTCCTCGAAGCCGACGCATCCGTCGCCGTCGGTGTCGACGCAGGCGATCATCCTCTGGCACTCATCGGCGCTGCACCCTTCCCCGATGCGCGCGAGCACCTTGCCCAGATCGGCCGCCGTGATGCGGCCGTCGCCGTCGACGTCGTAGACGTCGAACGCGGCGCGGAGCGAGGCGTCGAGCTCGTCCCCGCCGCCGCCGCCGCGCGCGTGGAACGCCTTGAACTCGCCGAGGTCCACGAAGCCGTCGCGGTCGGTGTCCAGCTCGTCCATCATGGCGGCCACCTCGCGGCGCCCGTGCGAGGAGCTCGACGGCGGGGAGATGGCGCGCGACACCGCGGCCAGCTCGGAAGGGGAGATCCGGCCGTCGCCGTCCGCGTCGATGCGGGCGAACACCCTCTGCATCTCCGCGTCGTCCGCGGCCGACGACACCACCGCCGGGGGCCTCGCCTGCTGCTGGGCTTGCCTGTTCTCGCTGGCGCTGGTCGACATGGCGATGGAACGGAGTGTGGTGGTGGTGGTGGTGGTGATGTGAGGGCGCTTTGCCTGTGTGGTCTTGCGGCAGTGAGCGGCTGAAGAGGAGGTGTGTGATGTGAGCTTGTGGCGTTCTGGATGCAGGTGGTTCCGTGGTTGTAATGGTGAGTGGTCTCGCCGTCGCCGGAGGTATTAATAGGCCGCTGGTGCAGGCACACTGGCGACCACCACGCGCTATTGACACGCTGCGGTAAAGGCACCGACTTTTTTCTCGCTTGCCGTACGGAGTCGTACGTGAACGTGAGAGACTGCGAGACGGGTCTTCGTGGCGACTGCCTCGGCCAGGCATCGCGCCGCGGCTGAGCCACGTGGAAGCCCGACGGAGAGGCGGCGCGGCCGACCGGTGCGGATCTCGGTGCAAGTTTCCTTGCTGCGGCCGGCAGTTTCCTGGAAGGTCCAAAGCCGAAGCGCGTTGAGGAGGCAGCCTGAATCTGTGAATCACCGCCCACGTCTGCACCTTTCGGACAATTTTAAGGCGAGTCTATCTGTACCAATGTCGTCATGCGTCCGCAAGGCATCGGCCACAACACAATCCAAATCACTCAAGAGTATGTGTGGCACGGCTCACGGTGTCTGTCGTGCTTGACCCACTCCTGAATGGCCCACTAACCTTCTTAGAACATCACTAGTGTGAATAATAAGATAGTCTTAAACTTCTTATTAGGTCAAGCTTCAGGTCGGTGCTCTGTCCCAAGAATCATCATCATAGAATTTTGGTGGCAGCTCCGGTGAACCCTTCTGCAGAGCAGTCTTCTTCGAGCTTAAGCTCCGGTGCCCTGTCCTCCATATCACCAGACATTTCCGATGAGTAACTGGACGCTGCTTGTCTTCTACCGAACGTAATTTTTTTCTCCTATGCCTATTTATGTGAAACACCAGACCTTTCGAGTGGTCCTCGGCAGTGCTTATTTTACTTGGTTTCTTCGCGTCTTTTTCATCGCCATTGGAGTGGAATTAAACTAACTTCCATTCCATTTCATTCCAACATATGTGGATTGACGTAGATATACGTGCATCTAAATAAGGCCTTAGCTGGATCCAAACCATGACGTTCTCACCTGGGTCCATTCCACCTTTTCTGCCCGTCACACACGGCGCCAATGCAGTGTCATCTAGACTCCAGAACCCACGCCGAAACTCATGATCCATGTTAACCCGGCAAGTTGGGCATGGCGGCACATGTTCACGATTCGGTCGGTAATCTCACAGTTGGGTATGCCAGCCCATCTCTTTTCAGCCCATCACGCACGATGCCAGTGTAGTAGTACCACACTACCCACACGGCCACGGCAGCCCCCATCCATGGCCCACGCAACACCTACCCACTCCCCATCCAGTCTGGAACACTCGTGCTAATCCGCGCTCGGTTTTTTAGCAGAAAAAGAAAGGCTTCGCGACTCATCCGACTGGCGCTAGAACAAGCAGGAGACATCAGTCCTGGACCCTTCACGACGCGTCCAGCAACGTGTTCGACCCGCTGGCTCTGTTCGGCTGCTAGTCTGCTACTCCGAGAATCTGAGTCGTCATTGCCTCATTGGTTAGTCAAGTTACTACCGTGTGTTGACTGGATTGCTTTCTACTAACCAGTGAAGTGAGGCAGTGATTTGATGGTCGTTTGTGTTGTACTATTCAACGGTAACGACTTCGAATTTAGAGAAAATAGGCACATTACTCCTGTGTGTGGTGGTCCGTAATTCGAAGTCTATGGCGAGTCTTCGTCCCTGACCGCTGCAGCTGTGGCGTTGCCTAGGGTTAGCACGAGTCCGTTTTTTAATTTGAACTATAAAAGCAGGCACCACCGCCCTCTAACCACTAAAACAAGACAAAATAGATTTTCTAGTTTTTATTTTTTTAAATATTTAAATTTTGGCTTAATGTATAACTAATTTATTTTTATCAGGAAAATATGAAACTAGTACCAACTTTTTTCTAAAAAAATTTATCTATCTATTGGTGAATCTATTTAGATTTATTTGAAAGTTATTTATTATTGTTCCAATTATTTTACTATTCATATTGGAACACGAGGAACATGAACAAATAAGACTCAAATGACTCCAAATAGCTAGAGCACCAACATATAGATAACATTTTAGGAAAAAAATTGGTATCGGTTTCACATTTTTCTGATATGAGATAAATTACTTATGATGTTTTTTGAGATTAAATCATTTTTTATTATTTTTTATAAAACATAAAACTTCCTTAAACTCGCTAGAGGACCAGATATTTGTCTGGTTTTAATATCCGAAGGATGTTCATCGTTCAATATCTGGTTTTGTAGTTCTGAGTTAAAACTGAAACCAACGTGCAAATTGAATGTTGAAAAATATATTTTTCCCTTAAAGAATATTGCATGTGGCGATTGCAAAGCATGCTGTTAGTTTGTTACTAGAAAATGAGGCTAGCGCCCCGACATCCGGACGGGGGCTATTGTCCAGTGCCCGTGCGTACCACACCTGTCCGTGCGCCCCCGCGTAGGCATGGGCCTGCTTCACGTGGGGAGCCCACGCTGCTATGTGTCCCACACCGCTCCGTGTCCCATACCGCTCTATCTCGATCTGTGCCCGCACGTTTCTCGCCCCTACCGATCGCGCCCCCTCCACACCCACATGCATGCAGGCGGGCCCAGCAGCTGCAGCAGGCAGATAGGTCCCACTCCAACATATGCAACATTAAATTTTCTTTTGCAACATCTAGATAGAACACTTGCAACATAAGTCCGAAACAGTTGAAACATTTGCAACACACGTCTGAAACACTAGGAAAACACATGTGTAGCCATTACAAAACATATGCAACATCTAGATGAAACACTAACATATGTGTGAAGCATATGCAATATTCGGATGAAATTCTTGCAACATATGTGTGAAACATATGCAACACCCAGATAAAACATGTGCAACATACATTTGAAACAGCTGAAACATTTGGAATAATACACTTGCAACATACGTGTATAGCCATTGCAACATATGCAACATCCACATGAAACAGTGCAACATGCGTATGAAACACTTGAAACATACACTTGCAACATGCACTTTCAGCGCAACATCTTCTTGTTGCTTGGCCGAATCGAGGCTTGTCGACGCCGAGCTTGACGCCGACATGAAGCTCGATGCCACATAGGTCGCCAGTGCGGAGCTCGTCGGCGGCATGGATATCGGCGGCGCAGAGCTCGTCGGCAACATGTGGCTTGCCGGCGGCGGCGCGAGCAGAGCTCAGCGACGACGCGTGGATGTTGGCGCCGCGGAGCTCGCCGGCAACACGGGGCTCTCCGGCGGCAGCGTGCGCGGAGCTCAACGGTAGCGCGGAGCTTGCCGGTGACGCTAGAGGGCGGGTGGGGTATGGCCGTGACACGCGCGGGGGAGGGGGGGTGGCTGCGCTAGTTCGAGACATGGAGGAGATGCACAAGCTCCACGACATCCTTCCTCTCCCTGTTGCTTTGAATGGAGAGACGGAGGAGAGAGAGAGGCAAGATGGAACTTGACATGATAAGTCTAAGTGGTCACATGAGGGGAGTAGATATTTGTGTGGTGGGTACAATACGTGGACACCGTGAGACCACGTAGCGTCCGGCATATGGACGTGGGATGGACGCCCGCGAGTGGAGCATTTCCATACCAGAAAATGTTCCTCTTCATTCTCCCAACCTGCGGTTAGGTTAATTATATCATTTTTCAACATTTTGCCTTTTAGTTGGATCAATCTGTACTACTGGTCTTGTCCTTACATTTATCTAAAGATAATAACTTCTTAATTCTTATACAGTGATCTTGTCAAGTTTAAGCTTAGAGCTCAAGCAGGGGTTCCAAACTTATCTCTTTCACCAAGAAAACAACCTCCTCTGCAGGCACTGCCGCACTGGTAAGTTTTTTTTTTTCCTTTCCTTTTTCGAGAACGTAGCACGTATTTCATCAAGAAGTTATAGATATCCTCTCAAGAAAGAAGTTATGTGAATTCCAGTTAAGACCCCTATTCCTGAAGACACATTAAGGAAACACCCTCAGTACAAACAAGAGTGCACACAACACAACCATGTGAATTCCAGTTAAGACCCCTATTCCAAAAGTCATATTTTCCAATGTCACGAGAACATCGAATGCAACCAAAACGACCAGGAAAGCCAAAGCCTACACCTCCAACAGCTCGACTAGGTGCTCCATCTCTGGCTCACCCCCGGCAAACAACTCCTTAAGAACACGACACTCCCTGTCAGAGATCCAGAGGCACTGGTTATTAGTCAAGTTATTACCGTGTACTGACTGTATTGCTTACAAACCAGTGAGGCAGTGATAGAATGGTCGTTAACTCTGGCCCTCGTCAACGGCAATGACTGAATTTAGAGAAAACGGGAATATTCCTCCTGTCGTGATTTGCGAGTGGCCGTGTGTGGTGATCAGTAGTTCGAAGACTATCACAGGTCTTCGTCCCCTGGCCTCTGCATTTGTACTAGCGTCCACTGAAGGGCAGTGGCATCTGCCTTTTGCAGTTTTGCTGGATATTGCCGGTGCAATTGCAAAGCCTGCTGCTAGTTTGTGACCAGCAATGAGCCCCTCACATGTCTCCTCGGTCTCTCTGGCCATCTTCCTCTTAATCCTCCCAACCTTCTCCGCCAGTTCATGCCTAACGAAGCTCCCATGTGACAGTACCATAGAGATCAGGCCTCCTTTCTTCGTTGGTACTCCCGGTCTCGATCCAGCCTGTAGGAAATCGATTAACGTTAGCTGCGGTGACTTAGGTCCAGAGCTGGGCCTCGTTACGCCCAGCAAGCTACTCCTCAAGGAAATTTCTTACGGTACCGGTACCATAAGAGTTCAGGATGTTGAGCTCAGCATACTCAAGAATTTGTCCTGCGGTCTCATGTTCAGCTTCACGCCGCCTGTCTCCGACTTCCTGAGCAGCTATTTAGACTTGGCGAGGTGGTTCTCGTTGATCAACTGCGGCGACAGCAACCAGACACTTTTCCAGTTCCAGAGCATGTTTGGGGATGACAAGGATGTTCACCAAAGCACAGAGCCGGACGATGGGCACAGTCTTGTTGCTTCATGCCATGCATCTCCGCAGTTCGAATGGATGCTAAGCTTCAGTGTCGGTGTTGGGCAAATCCCCCAGGTCAATTTCTCAGTGCCATCGGCAAGCATAAGGAAGTTTCTTTCATCACCTTCGGATTGTATTTCACCTTCCCCTGGAGGTAACATATAATTAGTTCATTTTCTTACTTGTGAGTAAAAATGCTATGTTTTCTTTCTTAATGCCGGGATGAATTCTCATGTTATATTAGGAAGCGGTAGATTAAGTTCCATTATTTGTTACGAGTAACATGAAAAGTTCAATGTGAGTCAAACCAGGGAAGGTTCTATTATACCACAGGTTACACTTGTGCGAAAATCCTTATTTCCATGTCACGCAAAAAGTAGGATGAATGCGACGTTCTCTGTGCTTACCGGTTACCACCTAGGGAAATTCTCCATCATCATTTAGCTTTTTACCTGTCACTGAAGTAGTGAAGCTTTTTACCTGCCACTGAAGTTGTGAAGCTTTTTACCTGCCACTGAAGTAGTGAAATTATAACATCAAGCAATTCCAACAGTAAATTTCCATAAAATTTCTTATCGATTCAATCAACCCATGTGTTAAATGCAGATGGAGGTCGCAGTAAGAAGTATGGCACCAGGTTGCTCATGGCAGGTAAGAACTTCACTCATAGCAGCAGCCAAAAGAATTTGGTACACAGAAGACCGAAGTAATGTATACAAAATATCGAGAATGAAGCATCACTATATGTGGTGCGATTCAGCACATTGACTGATATGAGCAATGTTACTTCTAGACGTATTACTACTATAAGTAATGCTTAATGTTTCTTCATTTCGTTTACTTACAGCGTTCATATCTGCAACTTCTGGGATGCTCTTAGCATGCTCTTTTGCTATGCTGAAGCCACTTTGGAAAAAATCATTCCTTTTTCAGAGAAAGAACCGTGAAGCTGAAGCAAATATTGAGTTGATGCTATCAAGATATGGGATAAGACCCAAAAGATACAGGTACACTGAGCTGAAAAGAATAACAAGGTCTTTCAGTGAAAAACTAGGGGAAGGAGGATACGGCATGGTTTTCAAAGGCGAGCTTAGTGATGGACGCTTGGTTGCTGTCAAACTACTTCATAACTCAAGAAGCGATAGAGAAGAATTTGTCAACGAGGTTGTAAGCATCATGAACACCTCTCATGTTAACATAGTTTGCCTACTTGGATTTTGTTTGGAAGGATCAAAACGAGGTCTCGTGTATGAGTACATGACCAATGGATCATTGGAGCGATACATCTATTCTGAAAATCCAAAATCCGCTCTAGGGTGGGAAAAATTATATGAAATAGCAATTGGCATTGCACGAGGGTTAGATTATTTGCACAGAGGGTGCAATAGACGCATCATCCATTTTGATGTCAAACCTCACAATATCCTTTTAGATGAGAACTATTGTCCGAAAATTGCTGATTTTGGCCTCGCCAAACTCTGTAACATCAAGGAGAGTATTGCTTCAATGGCTGGTGCACGAGGAACCATTGGCTTCATTGCTCCAGAAGTATTCTCTAGGAGTTTTGGTGTTGTATCAACCAAGTCAGACATCTATAGCTTTGGAATGGTGCTTTTGGAGATGGTTGGGGGGAGAAGGAATGTGCAAATAAATGCTAACAATTCTAGCCAAGTCTATTTCCCAGAATGGCTTCATGATCACTTTATCTAATGGTGGTACACTTGAAACCTTTGAAGTGACGAGCACAACTGAGGAGGTCGCAACAAAGATGGCTTTGATTGGTTTGTGGTGCATACAAATGATGCCAGAATCTCGCCCTTCTATCACAAAGGTCATAGATATGCTAGAGAGGAGTGTTACTGAAATAGAAATACCACCAACGCAATTCTTTTCTTGCACCTCAGAAGCATCAATCCATTCAAATAATACAACTTCTGGAGAAGATACTCAGAATTTAAGTTTTCTTTCTCATGTTAACAAATGAAAGAAAACTGTCAACTCTCCTTGTTAGTACAGCTGTTGTACCATGATGCTGTAGATAATAAATGAGAGAATGTAGGCTTTGGTTGTGTGGCTGTGTGAGCCCAGGCTGTATTGCTACTCTTCTCTAGAAAGTTCAGGTATCAAAAGGCAGAGTCCTTCGAGAAAATAAGAAACCAAGTCCTACTCGGTTTACACATGCATCAAGCCAACACTCTGTTCAGGTCTACCAAGATATTTTGAAAATTACTGATAACTTGCACAAGTAAATTTTGTGATAAGGATTACCTATTACCTTGACATAGCTCGTAGGATGATAGAAAATTAACCACATTGATTTATATCTATGCTATCCTCCTCTGTTATGATCCCAGTGTACCTTTAAGAATTAAATTACTGATGCGTAAACATTTTTTTCTCTCGAACAATGCAGGAGAGCTATGTGTCATTTCATTAAGAATAAAAAGTATATTAAGGAAGGGGGGTTAAACCCTTGCAGTACATACAACCCCAACCAAAAAGCGCGATAAACAATTTCACTTAGGAATAAGAACTTCTTGCAATATTGTCTACATGTCTATTTTCTGAAGATTTATTGTCTATTAGTATTCATTTAAAATAAAACAGAAATAAGAAATAATAATGATCAGTATGCCAAACAATATGACAAAATGAATTTATAGGACACGAAGATAGCATCAATTACCAGCGAAGAGAGTATACAATAATACAAATGCAAAAAAAAGACAGTATTGGCTTTGAGTAGAAATTAATTTGCATCTGAAACTGATTAGCATGGTAAATAGCTCGTGAGTTATGATAAATGTAGCATTACAAAACTAGATGAAATTTAGAAGGAAAAAAAAACTATTTTCACAGTGCAGCTGCTAGTTAGCTTCAATTTTAAACAACTTCTGGAGATCAGGCTCTAAATATTAAGGAGATACACTGACCTTAAATTCATACAAAGGGAAAGAAACACCCAGATTTTCATGTGTTCAAGGAGATCTTTACCTTGATTTTCATGCACATCAAATCTATCTGCATTGAAAGAATCAGATAATAGACGTAGGTCAAAGCCCGGAAAGCATGGTCATAAGTTAATGCAGATACATATATACATGTGTGATATTAACAGACTACTCGATACCTTAATTAGCTTCAGATAATAAGCCAACATCTTGCAAAGGCAATCGCACTCATGCAACAACATCCAGAACAAAAACACCGCAGTGCATGTAACACAAAGAAAGATATTTGGTTGCATAGCCTGTTAATCTGTTATGTGTCAATGATAAAACATGAAGAGTAACTCAAATATCAAAGATAGTCATTTGGAATTGGTATGTTCGATAAAAATCAAGCACAAGTAGCTTTCAAGTATCAATATAAAATAGAAGCACCTCTAGATGGTAAATGCTGAAAATAAAGGTGCATATGCTAAACTGTCTGATCTTCTATCCATTGAATATCTACCTAGCAATATATCATTGTAAAGAGAATTGTATTGTATTCAATATTCTTTCTGACAACTTCGAAGAATTCCCTGTTTAATGTTTTACCAGAAAGGAATAGCAATGGCCAAGGTTATGATTATATTCGTAATGCAAGGTCCCAACTTATAGGACATTAAGGAAGATATTTGCTCCACTATCAATAGTAGTCAACTAATAAACTCAAATTTTTTTAACTGTGCATGGCTTCTGGATCTATAACCAAGCATCCAAGTTGGCCAATAGGTTCAATAAACTGGCATACAGATGAACTTTGGACTACTGCAGCATGACAGTTGACAAACCACTTACTTTACCAATTTGGACTAGCATATTGCCTTGGCAAAGAGCGAGCAACCAAAAATTGTAGAACCCATGGTGAATAACGCCAGAATTTAGCTCCAATGACCCACAGAATGGCGAGACAGGTGGCAAGCAAAATTTGAAGTTCCAAAGTCAATCCGGCTGCATTCTCATGTCTTTTCAAGACGCGGATGGCTCAGGATGCGCAAGGACGTGTGATTTCCTCGGTCCTGGCGCTTGAGTTGACGTCAAATCTGAACCTCAACACTTCAACAGCGCACCGGCGCACCTCCTTCAGCGCCACAAGGTCGAACACCTCGCCGGCGGCAGGTGACACCGCAGTCCAGAGCTCCAGAAGCTTGGCCTTCAATGGACCCCGCAGGCTCTGAACAGAAAAAATGCGTGGCAGATAAGCCGGGGCGTCACGATGCGGAGGCACGGCTTTGCGGTGCTTAGCCGGAAGCGCCATGGTGCTGAAATGCTGATGCCAAGAGGAACGGTAGGCTGACAGAAGCGCCAGGTTGGCGCTGCCAGGCACGGTGGAACAACTGAACAAGGGCCTTCAAAACTGAGGCGAGTGGGCCCGGGCAAGGCGATGGCCGTGAGCTCGTGACCAGCAACCAAACCAACCATGCCGCTACGAGGCTGCGGCCTGTCTCACAGCAAGGCCCAACTGCTCTAAAGGCAGGGATTTTTCCAAATAATGATATTTCGATGAAAAAATAATAAAATAGTAGTCAAAATAATAAAGTTGTAAATCTAGTATTCTATCAGCTTTGTTTCAATTCAAGAGCAGACAACAACTATAGGCTCTCTAGTAGTCAATACACCACAAAGAATTTTTTAAAATAATGTTAAAAATCAAGCAGAATCCATTTTGCTTAGATCTAAAATCATAGCTCTTGTAGATTTAATGTTGATTTTTTTTCTAGAATGCTACACTTGAGTTTTATGTTAAGTTGTTGGGTCCTAAAATAGCTTCCAAAAATCTAGAAAAGACCATCTAACTCCATGGTTTAAAAATTGGTATCTTGTCATGTAATTACACAGTATATGTGCTCAAGTGAAATCCAAAGTTTCTTAACAAAGCACACGCTCCAAATTACATGGCATATACTAAATCAAATGACATAGTTCCATAACAAAGCATGTATGCTAGAAAATTAGAAGTACTAATTTTGAACCAAGGATTTTAGATGATTTTTAATTTTTTGTTAGAAGACATTTTAGGCCAAACAAGTTAACCGAAAACTCAAATATAGTATTTCTGGAAGAATTTTAGTAAAAAGGCACAAATGCTATGATGTCAATTCTAAGCAAATGGATCATGCTTGATACTTACAAATTATTGGAGCGAGAACAAATTTGAGTTGTACTGGTGGATAAAAAATGAATTTAAGAGCCATGATGATAAGGAAAAATTGAGAAAAGTATTTCATTTACTATATCCACATCCAAAAACTAAAACTATGAATACGTTCTTTCTATTAATTTCCCTATTCCAACAATTTTTAACGGACACATTAATCATTCCCGAGCAAACCCTAGATATCCATTAATACATATTTTCTACAATACTATGTGTCTATGTCAATGCGAAATTCCATATCTATTTTGTAACTATCTTTATAATACTATAATATGAATAAGTTATACTAAATTAAATTAATTTTACATAAAAATTATACAAATAACAAGCAATATCCATTTTCCTAACTAACACTACATATCCATAAAGTACACTGTGTTTTCTAGCAATCTCACCAAGCAATACAGACTACATTGCTAAAAAACGAAGAAGCTTACTTGTGTCAGTGAAAAATATATATATTTGTTTATATGCAACCTAGAAGGTGATACACCTATCGGATATCGAAGAGCCAATATGTGACTCCTTTGTGTTAATTCGCAGGGCGCCAAAAGGCTAATCGACTTTTAGAAAGCCGATAGGTCTATTGGCCATGAAAACATCTGCATGAATTGACATTGGCTTACGTGACACATCTTATCGCTAGTTAAAAGGCTGATAAAAATATATCGGCAATTCAAAAGCCCGATTAGTGTCCTACTAGCCGTTCAATTGCGCTAGGCACCTATACTTGCAATTTCCTCTGTAACAAAACATCTAGTTCTGGATCTAATAGTATTAAGAAAATTTAGAGAAAAATACCGGTGCAAAATGTTGTTTCACGTTCCATAACGATCAAAAGTTTCAGAATCATGCATTACCGAAGGGAAAATTGTAAAGATGACCAATTGTCTCTTTGATTCTGAGATTGGGTGCTTTGCTGCAAAAGCTCATCCGAAATCTGCTTTTGTCGGAAGCAACGTGTGGAGTCATTAAGTAGTGTAGTCTTTTATCCTAGTCTTTGTTGGAAGCAACGATTTAGACTTCTGGATAGAGGGAATACAATTTGAACACTTTGAGGCTTCTACAATAAGAATTATTAATAGAATCTTAAGCGTGAGCAGAGTAATTTTCACTATCTGCAAGTTTTTCAAACACGAAAAGATTAATATATCAAATAATCAATTATCCATTTGTTTGGTTTTGCTTTTTGAGAGCTAAAAAAAAACAAGCGACTAGAACTGTAATAAGAATTGGTCGTGTGCAAAACTCTTGCAGGGATCGAAATAAAATTTCTTTGTCTAAAAAAATAATCATGATCCAAACACTACACGTACACATAGTTGACTCCTATTTTCACAAGTGACGGCTCCATGTTGGTAAAACAGTCGTCGGTGTCGCCAAACGCCTCAGCGGGTGGGCTGGTTTTTGCAACATAGCCAAGGGAGGGTGTGTGAGAGTTTAAAAATGATTTATTGGGTGTTGTATCACAATAGGAATGGTTTTTTTTGCAGCTTTTGTCATGAAAATAATCTACCGATGCCGTATAAGGACACCTAGAGGCTCGTTGCGTCGTGCCAACCTAACCCTTATCTTGGCCCTCAAATCACCAGTCCATCCAAAGCTGCTTCAAATCTTTTTGTCTAGTATATGATTGCTTCACCTCTAAGACAACGTTTAATTAGTAGCACTGAATTTTTATCCCAAAAAGAAGAGCAATTAGTATCACGAAATTGACTGACATCTGACATGTTAACGTGGTTTGTAAGAGATAGACTTGCAGTTCAGATTTGGAAGAAGAACGAAAAAAAAAAAAAACCCTAACTTCACTTGGACCGGAGTAGTACTCATGTACTGTCAAAAATTGAATCGAGAACGATACCGTCGATCCTCCAGGCTAATGGCCACCGTGCATTCCTTAGAGCAAGCCACAACCAAGCGATAAGCAAACAAAAAGTCAAAAAGACAAATCCCCATCATTAATCGAGCTCTGCCGCATTAATCAGGGAGGGGAGAAAAACTTGCGTTGCCTAGCTGCTGATGACCGGCACCTGTCACTGGACGGGACGGCCGGCTCGCCACGGTCCTTCCGTGGCCACGATCCGTCCGTCGTCGCTGGCCCTGCTGCATGTTTTGCGTGGCGGAGGGGCGTTCTCCACTCCATCCCGGCACGGAGAATCTGCAGCCTTTGTTGCGACTCCGGTGTCACCATTGATCCGGCGCGCACCCGCTGATCGATGACGCCGCGAAAACAACCGCACGGCGTGCGTACGTGCCGTCGGATCACGAGATCGGACAGCAGCAGCAGGACAGCCCGGTGGAAAAAACGGGGCTCTCAAACCTAACCCTCACGGCCTCACCTGAAATGTTTGAATGGTTGTGTCCCTCTCGCTTTCGTTTCGTTTCGTCATGGACCCTTCGTCGTCAGGGCCGGGGACGTGCGGTCAGTCCTATGCGTACAGAGTACACTGTCTGTGGTTAGATGCTTGAGCAGGGTTAGAAAGGTACGTTGATATTAGCTTCGACTAGCTGATGAGCTAGCCATGGTCTCCGATCCAAATGATCGAACGAACGCCATGTGCCCAAGTGATTCACGACGTTTTGTTTGTTCCCCGTTGTCACGTGCAGGCGATCTTCTGACATACGTGACAGAGTAAACACTAAGGTTTGAAAAAACTAGACGCTTCGTGGTGCTCAAGCTTACAAGCGTCAGGCCTCGCGCCCCTGATCGCTTTCTGCGTAGACAACTCACCTACCGCTCCTAATTAATCAGCCTGAGATTTGCACCAATAATCTCTGAGAATCTTAGAGCAGCCAGGGTATGGAAGGGTCGCGGACGCCTGTGTCGGATTGGGAGGCTATGTAGCTTGAGTTGTTAGGCCCAGCCGCGGTTCATCAATTGATGATGAAGGTGACAACGGTCATCCTCCATTGGCCGATGTGTGTTAGTATTGATCACCAGTGTCTGCGGAATTGGTGGCCCCGTCGCACGCAACTACGTGTCCCGCTTGAGATCCTAAACCCTAGACCCGATCAGCAAAGTGCCATCGACACCGCCGCCACCCGACGTTCACATCGCCACAGGGACGCCACAGGACACCTTCCAACGACCGTGTGATGTCGCAACAACGAAACCCCGGCGAGCTTCAACAACTACGTTTGAGTTTGAGGCACCTATCTCTCAATCTCTCTCTGAAATCCGTTGATCTATTAAAAGAAAACCGATCCGATGAACATACCTTCAACAATGTGCTCATGTCTGCGGAATTGGAGGCACAACTACGTCCAGGATCAAAAGCGAAGGCGAGGAGCTCCAGTGGTGATGTCAAAAGGAGTGGGAGGTTGGCTTGTTGTTAAGAAGGCCTCTAACCCAATTGTCCAGACACAAAATGTGCTGATGCAAAAACTAAGGTTACAAATATGGCACATAGTCGGGACATGAGGCCTTGGACAGATTCAAGGCCACCTTTGTTGCGCCGTTATCGGCCTCCAAACATGAGGCCCTTCAGGCGCTTTTTGCTGCTGATTTTTGATCTAGTGGCCATGGCGCTGAACTTCGATGGCATTGAGCTCTGTACGGCCGGGCAGTTGCTGAACTTCGATGGCGCTGAACAGTTGCAGGCAGTGATTCATCACTCTTACGTCAGCTGGAGGAGGCGAGAAGAGAGGCCGGAGGCGCACGTGTCGCTGCCCGCGCGTAAGATAAGACCGGCCGGGCCGCCGGGTTTGAAGTGTGAATGGGTCGTCATCGGCCCAGCCTTAACTGCCGGACAAGGACGCCGCAGCGAGCACTCGCTGGAGACTTTCCGGCGCGCAAAGGTACGGCTGCGGGGACACCAACGACGCACCCTCCCGCCCGGGACCACTCTTGCGTACGGCCAGGCCACCTCGACGACGAATCGACGATTGCACGTCCCACAGCGTAGAGACAGCCGTACAGCGATTGCACGTATGGTGTGGAGCCCGGTGGCCACCGTTCACACGGCTGACGCCAACGTGTCATTAAGCCGGCCGATGGCGAGCCGCCGGCGGATCGCACCCATCGATGCCGGATCGATCGGATGGGACGACGGCGACGTGGACAGGGGTAGGTCCCCGCCGGCGTCTGTCCAGTGTTTTTTCCCCCTGTCCTCCATCTTCCATGGAGGAACTCTCCAGATCACTGATCACGCATCAGTCCATCTCAAGCAAATTTACCAAACTGACCCGTTCACACTCCTACTCGATGGAGACGGTGGAAGGCGCCCAGCAGCCGCCGAGCACCCATAAATAGTCGTGCCAGGCCATCAGCCCAGCAGCAGCAGCTCCAAGCATACTAAACTACTCTAGCTAGCTACTGCCGCATCGATTTGCTTGGGGCCTGCCTGCCAAGGAAGAAGAAGCAAGCTCGTGAGTAGTGACTCGTGAGGATGTCTCTGGTAAGGCTCTTGGACACGCTGGCGCTGGACTCGTGGGTGCGGAAACCGTTCAGCATCTTCGGCACGGCGGTGGCCGCCGACGCGTGGCTGGCCAGCGACACGTCGGCGTTCGCCAACACGTACATCGAGAGCCGGGACACGGCGGGGGCCTACGTGTTCAGCGCCGCGCTCCCGCCCGGCGTGAAGAAGGAGGAGGTGACGGTGGAGGTGGACGAGGGCAACGTGCTCGTCATCACCGGCGAGCGCAGCGTGTCCCGGGAGGAGCGCGTCGGCGACAGGTGGCACCACGTCGAGCGCTGCTGCGCCAGCTTCCTCGGCAGGTTCCACCTCCCCGACGACGCCGCCGTCGACGGCGTCAGGGCCGCCATGGACGCCGGCATGCTCACCGTCACCGTGCCCAAGGTCGGGGCCGCCGCTGCCATCGCCGCCGCCGAGAAGCCCGCCGAGGCGCCGGTGGCCGTGGAGGCCGGCCCTGCCTGCTGATCTTCTGATGCCGACCCCGGCCGAGACGGCCGGCGGCTCCCTGTTCCTCGACGCCCCCTGGTGAATGAACCGTAGCGTCCCACGTCGTGCGACAGTGAGGTCGTCGTCGCTCGCTCGCCCGTGCTGTCTGAAAGTCGTTTGCTTCCGTGGTTTGGTCTTTTGGCCTTGCGTACTTTTCCGCGTGATGGATGGAGCTTGGAGCCGCCTGCATGCATGTAACTAGGAGTATGCCTGCACGGCTGTACCATGTAATTCCGTCTTTAATGTCTTCCTGTGCTTAGTAAATGAAAAGCAAGCTAAGCTGGAATTAATCCTATATACTTGTACCGTCTTCATCTTCTTTTCGTGAATGCTGTCTACTAGTAACTTCTTGGTGGTTTGTGACGATTTACTAGAACCTTTTACTTGCCGGTGATTTCTTGAACTCGAGAAGTTTAGCATATTTCCTCCACCTTTCCTATTAGTCAAGTCGCCTGAAATCTCTATTCTGTCCAGGCGATGGTTGCGGATCCGTTTTATCTGCTTGTGAATAGAATATAGTGTATACAGATTGCCAACAATAGATGTTAATCTGATGGCTCCTAGTTGTATCCATACATTAATACATACTCTCTCTGTAATTCCTAGAACTTTAGGACAGATTAGTAAACAATATAAAAAACTATTGCTCTGTTTGTTTAGTTGATAAGTCAAAGAAAATACTATTGATTGATTTATTATAAAAGAAAAATACTATTTGTTGATTGAAAAAATATGGTTTATAAGCTAATCGAGCGGAACGTATACTGCCCCTCGCCCCTCGTTAAACAGGACCGTCATTTGCAGCTTCCAATGCAATATTAAATGTTGCCACATCCTACCGCAGCCATGCCTCCAATCTCCTTGCTCCATGAGTCCATGACCGTCACTACACCGAGTGCCATCACTGTAGGCTCGGGAATTTACAAGGCACTAGGTTCAAGGAGATGGATGAGCTGTTTTAAATGCAGCCACGACTACGAGGGAGATTTAATGTGGGTTCTAACCTCTAGAGATTGATTTTTTAGGATAAATATTTATGCTTAGAAATTGATTCTTTCAAGGACGGAGGGAGTACGTACTATGAGCATTTGTGTCGGTGTTTTTGACCACCGATGAGTAAATTGGTATTTGCGCGTCTGGCTTGGATGGTGTGCTTAGATGACATGAGGTTTATATTGATTCGGACAGAAAGTTTCTATGTCCAGTTCGTCGCTGCTACCCGTATTATTAGCACTGAAAGTTTGTAGTAGGGGTTATAAACAGACGAGAGAGAGAAATGATCTCAAGTCTTTGGTGAAAGAAGTGAACGGATGCTGAGAGCTCGATCGCTGCTCAGCCGTGTGCTCGTGTCGTGCTCTTGTGCGGATCTAGTCCGATAACCTTTATGGGATGCCCTGCTTTCTCTTTTAGGTCAAGAGAAAGCGAGGGTTACAGCGGAGGAAAAGGAGAAGAACAAGAGAGAGGAAGGCTTCTAGGATCGCCGGATCCTTCTTCTCCTTCATGCGGGTCCCGCCGATCCTGTAGATGTCAACCGGGATGGCTCCATGTCACGGCCCCTGTCCGTCATTGGCGCAATGCGCAGCGTCATCTGCCGGTCATGGCGTTCCATCCCGACCCGGCGGACGTCGTGGTGAACTGACGCGCCTGTCAGCGTTCGTACGAGGGTTAGGCAGAACAGCACCGATACGCCCAACGCTGTTCTTAATGTGAATCCTCAGGTATAGCCCATCATGGCCTTGGGTTACATCGAGTTGTGCTCGTCTCTTCTCGGGTGTCAGAGTTTTGACCCAGCGCCATACGCCTGGACCTGGAGTGGTTGGCGGCGATATGGGTCCCCGTCGGGCGAGACGGAGCCTGCGGCCTTAGGCAAGACCCCCGCGGCCTCAGGGTCAGGCGAGACGGAGCACGCACCCAAGGGTTGAACGAGACGGAGCCCGCGGCTCGGGTCGGGCGAGACGGAGCCCGTGGCCTTGGGCAAGACGCCCGTGGCCTCGGGGTCGGGTGAGACGGATCCTGTGACCCTTGGGGTCGGACGAGACAGAGCACGCTCCCAATGGTCGGGCGAGATGGAGCCCGCGGTCTTGGGCGAGACCCCCCCAGCCTCGGGTCGGGTGAGACGAAAACTACGTCCTTAGGGTCGGGCGAGACGGAGCCCGTACCCAAGGGGTCGGGCAAGACATTTTAATACATCTTGCTCTATCCGGGGAAGTCAGCATGGGCGTTAACTCCCTTACTTTGGGTATCCCTAATATCGATACCCGACAATAGCCTCCGAGCCTACGGAGGAGTAGAATACTCCTTTGAAGGCTTTTCCGGATGGGAGGACTCTGAGGGCCTTGGCCTTCTTTTTGTAGCCCGTAGCATGTCCTAGTAGGACGGCGGTTCCCTTTCATCGTGATCGGACCCCTCGGGGGTATAGCCATGAGATTTGGTGGGTCATAAAAGGTCTTTCCTGATTCCAACCTCTACGGGGGTCTATCGTTCTGCGACCGCGCGTTCGGTCTCCTTGTGAGTCTAACTTTTCTTGATCCCCCGCTTGTAGCAGGGGTCCGATCGAGGGTCGGCTCATCTTTGTGATTGTCTTCCCTCAAGCGTTTTTTCTGATAAAAACGGAGGGGCTGGGCCGTGCCATGATTTTCCTCTATGGATGAATCATGGTGCTCGGTGAGCTGTTAATGGGCAAGTCTGAGTGGGGCCCCGGCATCCCGTTCACGATTGTCCGGCTTGGGTCAGCTGGTGACCGACTTTAGATTCTCATCGGTCAATCCATATAGTTCTCGGGTCCGTTCGACCGGTCCGAGGGCTCTTTGCCTTTCTTCAAGGAAAAACCATGGATCGTATCTGGCCGAAACTCGAACATGGGCGGAATGCTGCGGCACTCATGCGCCCGTGTACTGGCCGCTAGCGGGTCCATCCCTTTCCAACCCTCACTCTAAAGGTGCCCGGAGCGGTTGTCGAACCCGTCGGCGGGCCAACCTTCGAACTCCTAGGCCTAGACGGGTCGTAGGAGCATTTTCAACTCCATATCCTTCTTACCTGTGATGGGTCATGGCCCGTTCGGGGAGGCAAGACGTGGTGACAGGTCATGGTAGGCACGGAGATCTTGGCGGACGGTTGGTTTCCCGCACCCGTCGCCCCTATAAAACCAAAAGGTTAGCCCTCCGTGTTTCATATGCATGCCTACATCCTTACCTCCGTAGCCACGCCGCCGCCGCCGCCAACGCTTAGGTTTCTTGCCTCCACATCTCCGCCACCATTGAGCTCGCATCCATCCGCCCCCACCTCCAATGGATCCGTGGTGCCATTCCGACATCACCTTCCAGCGCATGGAGGGCCTCATCCGTCGTGGTCTTCTCCACGTGCGGACCTCGGTGAGGAGTGGTTGCTGCCCGGCAACGAGGAGTTGTCCGTCGCCGTTCGATGGCTACGTGGTGTCATTCGCCCACTTCCACGAGCATGGGCTCGTGACCCCCACACACAAATTCCTCCGGGGGCTACTGCGCTTCTACAAGATTGAGCTATAGCATCTCAATCCCAACGGGATCCAGCACATGGCGGCGTTCGTCGCGCTGTGCGAAGGATTCTGGGGATCAGCCCCCACTTTGACTTGTGGAGGTATTTCTTCACCGTCAACCTCCAGAAGAAGAGGGAGAAGGGCGGCAGGCAGGAGCTGAACATGCCAATGGGGTGCGCCGGCATCCAACTTTGGAACAATCGGGTCGATGAGTACCCGTCCATGCGGCTCTCGACGTCTAACAAGGGGTGGCACTCGTAGTGGTTCTACCTCAAGAATGATGCCGCCACCCTCTCGTAGGAGTTCACCGGGCGCTTGATCGAAGAAGCCCGAGAGCAGTGGAGGAAGTGGGGCATCCCGAAGAAGGATAAAAAGAAGATCCGAGACCACATTGTTGCCATCCACATCCTAAAGGAGAATGGCCTGAAAGGATCGGGCGTCATCGGGGCTTACCACGCGAGGAGGGTGGCATCGTTGATGACGCGCGTGCTCCTGCTATACGCGATGGTGCCCGAGGCATCGTTCGATGGAACAGTGCTCATCGAGGGAACGCTCCCCAACTCTGAGATCGCGCATAAAGCATCAAGGAGGCGATGGAGCCTTTACGGGACGACTCAGGTGTCGTCCTCGACTTCATCTACCCGGTGCCGGGGCAACCTCCGATGTGGCCGGAGCTAAGCTACGTTGTCTTCGTAAGTTTCCCTTTCTATTGCCTTCTCTTCAATTGATTTCTCAACCCCATGAGACTAACTTTGAGAGGGGTGGGACTAGCCGAGGGACCTCATCCTCACGGATCACCCGACGCCGCTGCCGAGGGATTCGGCCGTGAGGGCGGCGAATCATGCCGAGGGCGAGCGGCTAAGGAAGGCGAAGGAGGACAAGAAGAAGAAGAAGAAGAAGCGGAAGTTGCGGGCGCGAAACGATGGGAGGACACTAACAACGATGATGACGATGACGATGGTAACGATGATGAGGTGATGGAGGAAAAAGAAATGGTAGCCGACGATATCGAGTAGGACAACCTGGAGAACAAGGGTGCACTGACAGGCATTGGTTCGTCCTTGCAGGAGTCGGGCCCTTCCCATTCCATGGAGGGGAGGGTATGTCTAGGGGAGCCGATGGAGGCGAGGCATACCGTCAGCCTGCCCTAGGAGCCAACAGAGGCGGGCGGCTCTGCCATCGTGCCCGAGGTGTTAGCGGAGGCGGGCGGCTCTGCCGTTGCGCCCCAAGAGCCAAGGTGAGCGGAGTGTTCCGCCAATATGCCCCAGAGCTGCCAGGGGTGAGCCCCTCTACCCAGGAGCAGGGGAGGGCTTAAAACAGCCTTGTTCCGACAAGGCGAAGCTAGGGTCGGGGGATTCATCCCCCAAACGCATCTGTCGCCCGACGGCGTTGAGGTGAGTTATCAATTCCTCTGTTTTTTCGTGTTTTAGTCGGATTTCACTATGACTTATGTTTTTCATCCCTT